ATACATACATACATACATACATACATACACACACACAGACATACATACATACATACATACATACACACATACACACATACATACATACATACATGCATGCATGCATGCATGCATGCATGCATGCATACATGCATAAATACAAAACACTTCTATGCATACATGCATGCATAGGTACACACATACATACATACATACATACATACATATATACACACACACATACATACATACATACATACATACATACATACATACATACATGCGTACATACATACATACATACGTACATACATCAATATAATATAATATAATATAATACAATACACAATGTTCATCTACCTGTCTGTATACAGGTATCTACATATGTATTTTTATATATCCAACTAGATAGCCAGCTAGCTACCTTGATCGGTAACTTTGTTAGTAGCACTAGTTGATGTTCGTGGTGCTCTCTCACGGACATTCCAGTTGTACACTCGCCAGTGCTGCGGAAGAAATCCGCTCCACACAAAACAGGTCTCACATAAACCTTGTCTCATGCCCAGTGCCCTTATGACTTATGTTCGGGGATAATTATAGTATATAAACGGAACCCCTATGATCTACATAGAGTCCCGTCGTGGGAATTGCATTTCCCCTGCCATTCCCTCGTGAGACAGGCCTCTACGAACTTAAACCCGTATCGTGACTTTGCATGCGCATGTGCAAAATGGTAATTGCCGGGCTTCCCCTGGCTTCATCACCAGGAAGCCACTACCCACCTGCAGGAATGTATGACAGAGGGCTTGTGGGATCTGGGTTCGGGTGTAGAGATAGCTCTACCCTAAGGGTCAATGTACCCAAGTATTGTAATTATACTTTGGCCCCAGTGTACCTATACAGGGACTACTTTAAGGCCAACGTATATACTGTATGAGTACATGTACCCTTAGAGCAAGGGTTTCGCATGTATTCAGGGGGCGGGTCTTGGTGGAATACGCTACCGCCTCTGGCTAGAAGATGTGTCCATAAGCATTGATACATTTTGCACTGCAGAAGATCAGAACCTGTGGCGAAGAGCCTCTTTTCCCTTGGGCGTGGCACGTGTGTAGGGCCAAGCATGCCAAGCCAAGTACTTGCGGAGAAGGTCGCGGGCCGAAGAGGCAAACACTCTCCGATGCACATTCTGTGTCATCGCAGAGCGAGAAGAAAGTCAACTGCGATGGAAGCTGCAGGACAGCCCATCATCTTTCCAGAGCCACCCCCGCAAATCCGACCATCTCCATGCTTGCGTCCGAAGTCGACGTTTGACCCCTGGTGGTGCTGGTGGTGGTGCTGGTGGTTGTGCCGCAGGGCAGGCTTGCGTTGTTGTAATGGCTACTGGTGTGAACCTGCGCACACATCGGACTGGCGGAGGCCGGCACGAAGTTCTGGGCACCACCGGCAATGGATCACACGACGTTCGGGGATGTGACATCGCAGAATCGCAGCTCATGCCTGCATCGGGCACGACCGTGCAAGTAAAGTTGGAGTCCTCGCAGCCTGCCGGAGTTGCGCAGCCAAGGGAGGTGCCCTCACTGCAACTGAAGCCAAGACCGGCCGGCACGTCGAGAAACCAGCCCCAAGCCACCCCTGCTGGCGAAGCAAAGATAAATGCCTCCAAGCGCTTGCAGGGCCATGGCGCCGGCAGCAGCAGCAACGATCTTCATGGTCATGGGAAATGTGCGAAATGCAAAGAGCGGGCTCTGGATTGCTTGGTGCCAAAATGCCTTTCCTCCGAGTCAGAAGTGCAAAGCAAGAAGCTGCAGGCAATTGCTAGCATGCGATGTTATCTTCCCATAGGCCCCTAAGTAGTTCCTTTTTGGGATTACCTTACAGGATTCTAAATATAAACCATAGAAAGGAACTACTTAGGGGCCTATGGGTTACGACAGCAGCTGCTTCCGCATGGGTTGAAGCGTCTGGCGCCTGCACGAGGATGTCGATGCGAAGTGGATTGTCCTGTCGCGAAGGCACCGACGCTTTCTTAGAGGCCCAGGGGACTTAGTAAGTCGGTTGTAAGTAGGGTTATAATTGGGTTAACTCTATTTAGGGTACCCAAAACCCTAAACCCTAAACCTTTAACCCAAAACCCTAAACCGTGGGGTTATAATTGGGTAAACTCTATTTAGGGTACTTATAACTCCACTTATAACTTACTTACTAAGTCCCCTGGGCCTCCAAGCTCTAATTTAGCAAAGAGCAAAGAGTAGAGGACTGGGAGAGAAGGGGCTTAGGGTTTACCTAGACCCCAAAGAACCTACCTTTTTAAGGACTTATATAAGGAAATCATAAAAAGGAACCCTAGAATTACAGGTAGGTTCTTTGGGGTCCAGGTAGGGTTTAGTGGGAATGGTGTGGAGCGACTTCAGCAGCCTTGAGCGAGTCGCTCGGATGTATCCAGGCAGGCACACTTACAATCAAAGGCCATATAAACCACTGCAAAACCTAACTAAATCCTCTCTTGAGCCCAGAACCACTCTACATTCAAACAAGAAACACCCCATCCTTGCTAGCTCAGCCGCTCACGGAAATTGCCAGTCCTCCATGAGCCCCGTCGGGAAGCGGAACCTAGGCTCAGGAACCACTTCTTGGAAGACTTCTTTTAGGGTTTAGGGTTATTTCATAACTCCAGATAAACCCTGAACCCAAAACCTCAACCCCAAACCCTAAACGACCACATTTGGGGTTCATGGTGTAGGGTTTTTAGAACTCTACCCATAGGCTCCTTAGTCGTTCCTTTTTTAGGATTGCCTTATAGGATCCTAAAAATAAGCACCACAAAAAGGAACTACGAAGGAGCCTATGGGTAGACCCTAAACCCTAAACCCTAAAAACCCTAAAAGCCCAGAAAACCCTAAACACCCTAAAAGCCACCAAAAGGGACCACTAAGGAGCCTATGGGTAGGTACTAC